GATTTGAGGTGCAAAAAAAAATAATCGCAAAGGTGAATAAAAATAATTGCAAAGTTGGTATCAATTCTGTGAGAAAATGCGCTCATGGCCACTAGACAATCATTCAACAATCTGTTTACAAAGGTGTACTGTTTTTAGACAATCTACGAAATGAAGTACATGTTGTGTTGAAAAAATGACTGTACCTATGGCAAAATGAACCCACAATTTCTGACTTCTGATTTAGCAATAAATTACAGTTAAAATGCACCAGAATTCAGTATTATACATACAGTTTTTAAAAATTTTCCACACCGTGGGAGGGGGAATCCCCCCCCCCCCCACACACACACACACACCCTCCCCACTCGGGGGCTTCGCCCCCTTGTGTCAGCTTACTGTCACCCCTGGCATTTTGCTCAGGCTACGGCCCTGAACACTGTTTCACAACAGAACAGAAAAAAAGGTGTTGAAGCCTTGAGGTTCAAGTAATAGTGCTAGAGCTCGTTTTTTCATAATATTCTCTGAAGGCATATTTATAAGGCGATATTAATGACGAAGGCGTACGTCAAACATTTGATAGAAAGTAGTCACTTCACTGAATGGGTCGGAAAATTCACATTATTTCAGTGCAAAAAGTAGAAACTTGCTCACCGCGGTAGAATCAGAGATGAGATTTTCGGCGGAATCCGACTTTTGGGAGTCATAATTATCCGAACCCCACGCCATATTTTTGACTTTTTCATTAAATGGCAGTCTCAACCCTGTCGAATGAAACTTGAGGAGATAAACCATCAGCTGCAATAGGATATATCATTAACCACTTCATATGCAGATTTTTAAGTGTTACTAGTAAACTAAGATTCCGATTTAAACTAAGATTTTAAGATAAATTATTTTGTGGATTGTTCAAAGTAAAGAAGGGCTTGCATAACAATAGGAATTCAGCATTGGATTACGTTTCATAAGCTGCGTTGTGCACAAATGTAAGCCTTACCTTCTTTATTAATTAATCGTTTAAAGTAACTCTTGAACGCCCTCTGTACTTTTGGTTCAACCTAATTCTAGTGTCGTAAAAATGCTTCACAATTTATGCCATTGGTATCAGCCTCCATCTCTTTTTTGTAGTTTTCCGTTTCATGTCTTTGCCGTGTCATATTTTATGATTGCCCCGAGAGAGTCTTGTCTCGTTTGTTTTGGTGGCTATTTATCACCTGCGACGCACCAGGTGAACGGGCTCACCCCTTAAAGTGTGTGAAATATTTCTCCAGATAAGAATATGAATATTATTTTGCACCCAGTTCATGATCAGATGGTCTATACACAACTCTTTTATGGGTAGACACGATTCTTCTGGACAAATAGCCACCACCCGTGACTGTCGTCGACGTCCCCACCGTGCACTTTTCAGTGTTGTAAAAATAAATTGTTTATTAATGGGGGATAAGTATGACCTTGGAGACAATGCTCGAGTTGACTATTTCTTTTTTATCCAGCAATATCTTTTTTTCATGAACCATCAAGATATCTTTTTCTTAATCTTAATATTTTTCAATTTATTTATTTTATTTTATTGTTTTTATTTATTTCATTAATTTTTTTGTCTGTCAGTTGTTTAATGTCCCAAGTTAATCCCAAATTGGCAACAAATAAAGGTTTCTGGATCAAAGTTATCAACAAAATACACGATATAAGAAAGCTATAATTTCATGATTTTTAGTCACATATTTGTACCGGTAGGCTCAGAGTAAACGACTTGGGTTTTCGACGTATTCCTGGTATTCTCGATATTGTTGAAGACTGACGTGTCATTTCTCACAGCATATAGATGGGACCCAAACTTTCTCAGAGAACTGCGGCGACAAAAACATGTCCGAGCTGACAGGAAACATGGCAGAACCTTCGAGCAGTGCAATGAACAAAACTATAAACTATTATTGCTGTACTGTAATATTAAGACCCGCTCTAAAGCGTTTCAACTTAAAACGGAACTGGTCTAACTGACGTCACTAGAGGTCCAAATTAGTTACCATGGAATTAAATTTCCCAGGAGTCGAAAATTATAACAATTAATAAATTGGAAATTTATTTCTGTTTATGTGAGTGCTGCTTTTAATGTGTACACCTTGTGAGGGAAGTGTTACCTATGCTCAGACGCAATTATTTAAAGCACATCACGAGGAAGGATGACTACACACTGTAACTCTCTATCATTCTTCCATAAGCATATCAAAGAGCCCTCCGAAGGCTATTAAATATTTATTTTATACATAACCTCGTTAACTGAAGCTGTAATGTTTTAGCACAGACAACAATTTCTAATGTAGTGCTCGAAAGTCGTAAAACGGACGCGTTTACAAGTGTGCTTAATGCATATCAATGACTATATGGCCAAAGATACAAAAACGCGAACGTGAGAGGGTCATAGCCACAGCCTACATTGAGCTTCCATTGTCTCAGGACATATATTGGTCTCCTCGCAGAGAGCTCTACAGGGTGCAGAATCATGAAGTTCGTACTTGGACTGGTCTTAGTCAGCTTCATTGTTGGGATAACCCACGGTAAGTTTTCACATACTTGTACTAGTACGTTATAGGAAGTGAAAAAAACTTTGTAGGAGGAGTTTTTGAATTAAAAAGAGTTTACCAAAAAAAAATGAAATTATGTCAAATGCACAGAGAAAATGGACAAGCATAAGACAAGAAATCACTCTTCAATTATGCTGGGCTAAATTTGCCATGCAACTACAGAGACCATAGACTGGGGCGTAAATGTGAATGGCGCCCCTCGCTGTGCTCACATCTAGCTGTTATACAGGGTATTCAACTCCAAACTCTTTTTGTGCATTACGAAATCACTCAAGGACTTTCGTCTACTTTTTGGCACTAAAACGTGTTTCTTTTTTCATTTCTACAGCCAGTTATTTAGACGGCTTTGTGACATTAGTCACAGTAAAAAGATGGTAACATTCTATCTGAAAACATTCCAAATATTCCATCATTTTTAGGAAGAGTGTACTATTATGCACCAACAACGACAGAAGCTCCGACCACGACACAGAAAGCGAGCTATGGCGGCTATGGCGGCAACGGTGGCAACGGCCAGAATGGACAAGGCAACGGTAACAATGGTGGCCAAAATGGTGGCAGCGGTGGCTACGGTGGCCAGTATGGTGCCGGCAACAATAATGGCCAAGGCAACGGGAACAATGGTGGCCAAAATGGTGGCGGAGACAATAATGATAAGCAACATCATGCTGGTGGCGGAGGCAATAATGGTGACCAACACCATGCTGGCGGCGGAAACAACGGTATGAACGGTAGGTATTTAATTCGCACTTCACGTCAATTCGTACCTTAAGGTTTAAGGAATGTTCCAAAGATCTAACTGACAGATTGTGTTAAAACCTTATCTCGAGCATGAAAAAACCGCTTCAGTCATTATTTTTATCAGAATAATTTTGCTTTCTGACAAAATTCATGCAAAAACTGTGAACTTGATCATTTGATGCGTATCACGTCAACATAGTTAAATAATAAGATATTCAAAAAAATTCCCAGTGCATTCCTTTCCCTTCCAGGTATGAAACAAATGATGCAGATGATGATTTGGATGATGATGAACATGGCCGGCATGGGCAACAACGGCCAGCAAGCTGACTAAGTTTCTTCCACACGAAATGATGCTCTTCTCGAGGTCTTGATATTTATGACTTCTTGAAAGTATCGTTCCTACGTTTGGTATGGTATCATGGAAAATCCTCGTCCACAGTGCATCTTTATACACATGTCGATGTGGGAGTTACCGTATTTAGGCCTATTGGCATTCGTTATTAACTGGTTTGACACTTAATGCTACTTTTTGTGTTTGAGATAAAAGGGGGGTGGGGTATTCATTATGTTTTGTAGGACTGTGAAAAAATCCCAAGTGAAAGTTCATCCAGGAAACTCAAATGTGAGAGGCAGCTTTATTTGTTAAAACGAAATCTCGTGTGGGCTATCAAGATACGGCCTGTAGCTATTTAGCAGTTCTTGTATCCTACATTAGAAAACAGTTTAACACACGCCGTATATCTTTAAAATTCCAACGTAGGTTTGGGACACTTAAATGAGGCCATAACTGATTGAATAACGAGAGAGATTCCTGCCTGACTTTCCAACATGTGCATCATTTTAAACGTCGGTGTCAAATGTATTCAATAAATGTTATATATATTATTTTAAACGTGTTTGGTTTCGTCATTTATTTGTGTTGTTGAGCTATGCCATCCGATTCTTAACTTTTAGTCATTCGTTTAATTTTTGAAAATTTATTCAATAACAATTTGCGTTCACGAGCCTGTTGGCCGATAAGGGCCGTTTCTTTGCGTGAATTCAATTTTCTCCAATTTTATCCACAAAATATTATAACCATAGTAAGCTGAAAATATGCTCCCTATCATTCTACATGAACATTAAAATGTGAAGTACAGTGTATGTAAGTTTTGGTCTGTATGAAGGACCATGTTGTAGGAACCTAAAACACGCCTATTTAATGTTTTCTGTTTAATTTCTCATAAAAGATCATTGATCCCACGTGTAAACGCATTTAAACGTATGACACGATGTCCATTACAGCCCGGTGTTCTATGCAGGAACTCTCATGTATATTGCTATGAAGTTTACAAATGGAAAAAAATTATACTAGGGACTATTATTTCAAGCAAGAGTGCTAACGGTTTTCACATCAAAGTAAAAACAATTGAAAACGAATGCGCTGCACAGAAGAGAGAACAATTTCAAACAAATCACTGAAGATTATATGGTTTGCGACTATTCAATTTTTATTGGCATTTACGAAAAAGAGTAATTACATATTTTCTAATGAAAAGTTCAAGTCTGAATTTCACAGCCTTGGTTCAAATATTTATATTCTTATTGTGGTGTTGTAATGCGGTTTGTATCCAACTCATATGTCCATAAGACCTCGTCTTTATTTTTCATTTGACCTATTTCTTGCACGTGCTGCTCAAACTGTTGGATAGCTGGCGCTGCTGGCAATACCGCAGTTGTTGCCACGGTTACGGGACATCTGGATGTATCCTGCATTACCCCAGGTGGTTCCCCAGCTGAAAGAAGGCAAATATTTAAGACGGTAAATTTACATGCTTAGCTTTTTTTTTTTTTTTTTTTTTTTTTTTTTAGCTTTTTTTCATAAACAATTCCCAATTATAACTTATTCATAAACAATTCCTAATAATAACATGTTAAGGATGAATGTAGATTTAACAGGGTTAAGTACTGTACCTGCCATTTACATGTACAATGTAGGCGGTGGGATGTTTATTATTATTATAGTGTTTCTGTGCATTGTGGGCTTACAAGTTTCGTGACTTAATAGAGGCCTACCTATTACCAACCCTGTTAAATAATGGAGTCTAACTCAATATCTCCGAATATAACTGTAGGCCTACCTGTTCTTCACTATGTAATAGTTGGATCCGTATCCCACAGCCAATACACCGTGGTCCAATCTTGTGCTGCTGCAGGCTGGTTCGTAAAAGACACCGCTCCTAGTGACAAATAAGTAAATCATAGACACGTTTTCTTTACAGAAATAACGTTATGGGATATAAGAGCAAATTTACATTTTATATTCAAAGTTAACATTTTTGGAAACAAGTAAATTAGCAAAATGTCGCATGAAAACATCCAGACATTACAGTGATCCAGGGTATTTTAACAATTCTGAGACAACAAAATACGAATTGTTTTGGATGTTTAGCAATTTTGACCGATCATCTTATTACAATACGACTAGAAATAAACTCTTTGGTGCCACGCTCTTGGTTGAACACCGTGCCCACGAGGGGCATCATTTTATTGTTATCCTTCCAACGTTCTGTGTCACAGCAGTAACTGCTGGTGAACATT